CAAAATAAATTATATTATTTATCATAATCATAATGGATCATGTTTAGAAATGGAGAAGCAAAATGATATTTACATGCACGCTTATGACAGAGATTGTCGTAGCTGTAAAAACATAACCCTATTTTTCAGATTCCCAGCAATTCTTTCTAATCTAAGTCTCATCCTCATATAGTATTTTTGTCATAAAACAAGACTCTTTTATAGTATATATTTGTTCGCTTAAGTTATTTAAATTGCAACTCTTCTACCATAATTAAATTCAAACTCTATGACTATCTAACTGTATAATAGTTTTCACATTTACATGTATAAATATGAGCATTGTATAACATGTTGAGATTATTAAAAAAGTACAAAAAAATTCATTTAGCTTTTTGTGACTTCTTTATAATTTTAATATGATATTATAGTTCAAATTAATAAGAAATGGTTCAAATTAATTTTTTACAATGTGACAGGAATAAGACATGGAATGAGAAAAAGAATAATTTTGAGAATAGAAATCTACTTTCATTTTTGCTTTCATTTTATTTTAATTTTTATTTTAGATATATTTAGTTCTCTTTTGCTCAATTATAGCTTGTAATATGAATTTTTATACCTCTTACGAGATTATATATGTTGCACTCATACATTATTATAGTTAGAATTCGTATACCTTAATTAGTTAGCTATCACCATAGGGCAAGTGATTAACATTTTTTAATGTCTCTTACTCAAATTTCAAATTGACCACTTCTACTCCAACTTTCCGATTATGTTGCTGTCTAGATTGGTAATAGTCCTATTAAAATAAATATAAATGATTTATATTATATATACAAATGTTTTCATTTTAAAAAAAAAAAAAATTAAGTGAAGTTGCAACATATAATATATGCACGACCTTAAAAAAGTATGAATATCCAATTGACCACATGACTATGTTATAATAAAGGTTAAAAGAACTTAATCTAGATTTAATATGATAGAACCTAAAAATGTCAAGAAAAATAATTTCCCTAAATATCCCCAGCTGCATGCTTTTGTTTACACACCCTTGCAAACAAAAAATATAGAAGAACTGCCAAACATGGAGACTGTGAAGTTATTCTGAGTTGAAAGTAGTGAAGTCTGTTCAACCACAAAACGTATAAGTTCAACCATTCTGAAATTATTGATACCACAAGTTCTTGAGACTTGATTTTACTTTATCATGCATGCATGTCAAATTTTGTAGGAGAGCATATTTATTGTAGTAGTAGTACTACTTGTCCAGTAGTGTAGTGGTTCGGTTCTATGACCATGATGACATGTACAACACTTTCAATATACCTCATTAATTAATCACCTGGTTTTTTAACCTTTAATCAATAATGATTGTGAATTTTCATTGGCCCATCGAATATCTCCTGTTTTTTTTTTTTCTTTTTTAGCTATTTTTAACTTGTTTTTATTGAGGTTGGAGTTAGCTTTGATATTGATTAATCCTAAAGTGCAGAAGATAGTTTTTTTTTTTTCTTTTTTACCGTTGCTAATCCTTGATCAAAGACTAGTAGACCAGTGCCGAGCTAAGTAAGTTTTTAATTCCTTCAAAAGTTAAATATAAAAATTTTAGATGGAGTTTTAGAGATGTGAAGGAACTCTTACACATACTTTTTGATAGATACATATAATTACAATTAGATAGTTAGATATGCTAATTGTAATTATTACTACGCATATATCTATAACCATATATATTCATAGTAATGTATGGCTAACCAATAATTAATAATGATGCCGTATATGCAGTTTCATTTGGCAAAATGGTGGTTTTAGTCCTGTCAGAACAAGAATCTAAATGTGCTAAGTAGTCAGCGGAAGTATGGGATATTTTTATAGGGGTAGTCTCCCACATGGGACTTAATTTCAAGCTTCAAGGTTTAGAATCTGATTGTGTGTTTGTGTGTGTGCATATATATACACACGCACATATATATATGCTGCAACACTTATTTAATTCTCTCCTTTCAGAGGCACCAAAATCAGACTCTTTATAATCATCACCACATTTTTCATGTCAGATTCTTTCTCTTCGCTTTCTCTCTCACCACTCTTATGTATATATACACACACATAAATATGAATGAACTCTTGGTTTTTGTTCTTCCTTGTTTATACGTTGATTCAACGATATGAAATGCGCTAGAATGTTAGTATCTTCTTTTGATCTTCTTAGGTGACACCGACCCCAAATAGAGAACCCATGGAGAGGAACAGCTTTAATGACAAGAGTGTTTGTAGTAAAGCCATCAGATCCTGCAACAACAACCAAAACAACATCAACGAGCCTATGGATTCATGGATCTGCAACAACCGGAGCGATGAAGATGATGATTATCTTGGTGGATTTTCATGGCCGCCAAGATCCTACACCTGTAGCTTCTGTAAGAGGGAATTTAAATCTGCTCAAGCTCTTGGAGGTCACATGAATGTTCATAGGAGAGATAGAGCCAGACTTAGACAATCACCTTCTGAGGATGGTCAGTACACTTTTCTTAACCTTAATCTTATCCCTAACCCTAATTCATCCTCCTCTTCCTTGCGTTGTCCTCCATTTACTCGCACATTGCCTTCCTTGGTTTCCCCTCCTCTTTCTTCTTTATCATCAGTTGCACCTACTGGAAGGGCATGGTTCATGGATGGTTCACTCAAGGCTGATCCTCTGGGGCCAGAAGGCTCAGATTTAACAAAGACGAAAACTGCAAAATCCTTTTTTGAGGTCAAAGAACTTCATGGTTTCATACAAGATGGCTGCGATGTTCTAAAAAAGGGTGAGATTGTTAGGTTGGACTTAGAAATTGGCCTGCTTACTGATTCAAAGGAAGATCTGGATTTAGAGCTCCGATTGGGTTACTAGTCAGCCACATTGGATGAAAAATGCTTCCTCACTCAGTAGGTTAATTACAATAGTAATAAGCATGTATGTTTCTGATTGTGGTAATTGTGTTTAGATTTTAGATTATGCTTAAGTACTATTTGTGATCTAGTTGTTATATATATAATATTATTCGTAAGAAAAGAGTAATGTCATCTGGATTACTGCATCATTTATGACTGTCTTTACTTTTTTTTCTTTTAAAATTTCAGCGATCATGATAAATCCTAGATTTACGTTCAAATTGCTTTTATTAATGGTCATTGAATACATATATATATCTATATATATATATTACTTTTCTTTCTTTTAAGTAGCTATCAATAATGTTATTGGTGAGAAGAACTTGCTGGGTTAAAACCGTTAAACCCTTAGTCTTAGTCTTCATTGTTTCTTCTCAAAGAAAGAAAAACTTTTCAAATATTATTATTATTATATATACATATAGCAAACATACATGTGAGTGTTAACTGAAAATATATATTTCCGACAAAGAGGAAGTGAAAGATAGAAAAAAATCTTATTCTTCACCTTCCACCACCCCTTCCCTTCCCGGTCCTGAAGAGGACATATATATACAAACACTTGATTAATTAGATAGAAAAGCATTGTGATTGGAGGGCAAAAATCACAGTTCTGCAGATTGGTTTGCAGCAGATTACTTGATTAATTAGAAAGAAAAGAAATGAAAACAAGATCCACGAAAAGAGAAAAGAAAATTGTCTAGTTTCATACTTTTCTTGAGAAGTCATTTTCTATTCATCTATTAATATGGCGTTATAATAATGTGTGTTGACAATCTGGTATCAGATAATTATTGGGAAACAAGTCCCAACGCGAAGCAGCTGATCATGGGATGTAGCCCATAATATCGTCCTTTCAATTACTTGTTTATATATAAATCAATTTATGGTGCATGTAGTTACAAAAGAACAATATTTAATGGTAATTAAAGTTGCCATGCAAGTGCAATCTTCTGAACTCAAAAGCAACTGCTTGCATGTACTCTTAATATCTCATATCATATATATAATACTGAAATGATTTATTCACAAGATTTATATCAACACTACAATGGCTAATTCCGCCTCTGGTTATATACATATGTATAAAGAATATGCATATATATATATATATATATTTACATGTCGATAATCAACCTTTTTACCTATATTGTGTTTCCACTCAAAATATATATCTATATTCTTGATTTCTATTATTTATTTTTAGCACGACTAGCAAAAGAACACAGTATTGTAGAGGAAAATAAACGGATACTATAGGATGCTAGTTTATAAATAATAATAAATAGGAACTTTTTTGTTAACTTAAGTTTTTCATAAAAATAATTATATTTATTATTTATTATACTGATAAAATTATAATTTTAGAGTTTAAATTTTACTATACAATTTTTATAAAAAATATTAATCTCAAAAAGAAATTCACACTTTAATTTTCATGAACTTACACGTGAAAAAAATTTTTACTGTATGAATAATATATTTGTTAATTAAACTACGATTCACTATTTAATACGAGACTGAATTTATAGAATTATGACACTTTTTTTGTGTGCTTGTGATCAAATAACAAAAAAACAAATCAATTGATGAATTTGGAAAATTAAAAATTACACCCTTAACACCCCTAGGTCCAAAAATATTTATATATACAGCAATAAATGTAAATAATTTTTATGATTCATGTCAAGTTAGAAATAATAACTTATATGTTATTTTGTATCAATTTAAAATCTTGAAATAATTGACTATACTACAAGTCAATAATTTTATAAATAAATTAAAGTTGAAATTAGTATGAATACCATACTTATATTAGTAAAAAGATACACAATTAGAACATTTATATTAATTCATCAATTTTTTTAATAAAAAAATATCAATTTACCCACGTTATTTCTCTGTTCACAAAATAGTATACGCAAGGAACAGTATATACACACACATATATTTGGATTGGCATGTCAATTATATATATATATATATATATATATATATATTAGAGTAATGGGAAGTGATCGAGGAAATTTCTGGCCTGCCTTCATGTTTATTTTAATATATTTTTGGTGGGTCTTCGGAGCTGTTCCCGAAAATCTGATGGTTTGCATGTTCCCGACAATGTCTGGGCGTCAAATGGTATGATGGGTTTTCCTTAAAAGGAATGAGATGTTTTGGTCAGTTCAACAATTACAGTGAATAGACACCGCAATCCTTTCCTAAAATGCCAACATCCTCAGCACAAACACTTACCATATACTTACACAAACCTCCTCTTTTGTCCTTTCAATTTTCATTATTTCTGCTTTAATTAATTACTATTTAATTATTAATTAATATTAGTAGTCCCATCTAAAACCCATCATTCAACTGTATCTATTTATATTCTTGATAAATGGAGCATTAATTAGATCATCATGCTTTCTATTTCGTGATTTACCTTCTCCTCTTTCCTAAAAATTTTCCCTCTCTATGACAATGATTAAACCACACAGTTTTTTAGCTGTTAATTAATTAGTGAGAATTACTTTCTATGTTGTATTCACTTTGATCAACTACTGTGAATAGAATATTTCATTCATTTAATCAATTATGGTTAGATGCCACATATTCTGGCCGGCATGACATTGCTTTTTTTTTTTTTTTATCTCTTGTTTGTAATCTAGTCTTGAGGGGAATGTAAATTATGTAATAGTTATTTATCTTTCTTTTACAGAGTAAGTTGATGGATTATAAATTAAAAGCTAACCCAAAAGAAAAGCTTCTAAATATAATGCTTGATGTTTGGAAATGATTTCTCATCTACTATACTGATTTGATTTGTGTTCCATAAAGAAATAATTGGATAGAGAAGTTGGAAATTACAAATATACTTTTGTTATAATTTGGAGGTTTTACATGCACCTATGCACATGTGTTAATGTTACAACATGAATAAAATACATATTTTATCATTCTAGTTAATCACAATATAAAGTTAGAAATTAAGCAGTAATGTAACATGATTATAGACTATAACTAGTCTTGATTCACATCCCAAAATTAGAGAATAATTATTGAACATAAAGAGTTCCATATAAAAGAAGAGATTGTTATTAGCTACGGATTAAGTGTTCATAATAAGGGCAATAAATACACGAGAGACATATCCCATTTTTATGTGTCATTATCCCTTTTTTTTTAGTTTTTAACTTATGTTTTAGCTATTTTTTGTGTATTTTTTTAATTTTTTTCTTCCAATACTTTGTTACATAAACTTTCAACAATATTTTTAATTACTTAATAGAATAAAATTATATAATTATATTTAATTTAAGCAATAAAAATAATTTTTAATTTTTTTCGTATACTAAAATAGGTATTTCTGTTCAATACTTTAATTACTTGAATGGAAATAGTTGGGAAGAACAATTGCATAAGAGAATTTAGGAGCACCTCGAATATCAAACAGCAATATACCAAAATTTTAAGGCGTGAATTTAATCAGACATTAAAATGTGATACGTCATATTATTCATAATCTTAAATCTTAGATCTTAACACTAAAATAGATTGCTCAACTATAAAAACACATTCTAGTTAAACCCTCCAAATTTTTACAATGAATCAGATTCCTATAATCTGTCATTATTTACCTTGCAAAGCACCTAGTCACTGGCCACATCCATACGTTCACTTATATATACTATTTATTATTTGAAATATCCTTTAGCGAATATATATACATTCGTGTCATAGACGAGAGTTGGTTGATAGTATTAAGACTCAATGGAATAGCATCATATATATTTACATATGTATATATAGACTATTTTTTGCTTATAATTTGTATTATTCTACTCATCATTTTTTACTTATTGTAATATAAAATCGTTTTTTAGTTTTTATTTTTATTTTTTAGATCAGGTAAAGATCTTAAAATTTTATTAATGATTAAATAAACCTAAAGAAAAATGAGAAAACTTAGTACAAACAACCCTTCTAATCAACCAAAAAGAAAAGAAAAAAAAACTGTTATAATTATGTTTTTGTTATTTCACAAATAAAAAATTTTTATATATTGAATCTGATAAATGAGAACATACATAAATACGTACAAAATTTAGAAACTAAAACAACGAATAGCTTTGAAATTTTCATGCTACACAAATCCAGGCCCAAAACTTGTGTATTTATAAATAAATCTGTAAAAGGAATGAAGAAAAAAGTGATGCATTAATTGGGCTTTGTGGACATGGACCTCCTTACTTCAACATCAAAATATGGCTCAAAGCTAAGCTAAGCTAACCAAGTATTCTTATATATATATATGTGTGTGTGTGTGTGTGTATAAGGAAGTAAATTAATGAGTCTTGATTTCTGGGTACAAATCGTAGGAACCAAAAAAATGAACTAGCAGCTCAATGGGTATAACTAAGAAAGTACAGCACTTGCGTTGTTGTCATTGACGCCTTTCTTACATTCATCACATAATTAATTGACATTAATTATGTGTATTAAGCTGCAATTACAATTTATCTTCAAGGAAGGTTCCCACGAACAAGACTTTTTCAAAGACACAGTCAAAGCTGCTGAGTCTTGTCAAAACGCGTCCTGAATGTTGGCCGTCTATGGAACCAAATATATATATTGATTATAATTAACCAGCTAATATTTATATAATCACATAATCAATTTCTACACTAGAAGACATATGGTATGTTTGTGATTCTTGACATATTATTTATTAAACAAATGTACTAGTTTGTGTTACATCAATTTGTTCTCTTCTTCATCAACTATACCCACCCTTTTGGTGCTTCTTTTTTTTTTTTTTTTTCGGGACTTTCATCAATTTGATTACGTACATATATATTAATTAAGGTAGAGCAAAAGTAACTCATGTATTTGCGCTAGCTTAATTAATTTATGTCAAATGAAAAAGAATTATATTAAGGTATATTGTGCAGATATGAAATATTTATATGCATATAGGACACTAAAAATTAAGTAGCTAGCTAGCATGCATCAGTTGAGTTAGAGATAGTAATATGCATGTACATATATGTATATACTTTTTTAAAAAACTTGCTAAAAATAAGCATGAAATCAATCCGTTCATACTACGTCCCGCAGACCATATAATTGTATCTCTCTCTCTCTCTCTCTCTCTCTCTCTCTCTCTCTCTTTCAATTTCACAAAAAGAAAAAAGGGTATACAATATAAACAAACGAATTACTTAATGGGTATATTTCGAAAATATGGAGAATCATAATTGATTTCCTTGTTTTTGGAAACCTTAAACCTAGGAAAGAAGACAATATCTCTCAAACAATTGTGCCTGCAGCAAAGATATCTCCTTCATCAATGTGAGATTTTGTGTTCACATCTTAAAAAAATCAAACTAATGATGTACACCATTACCATTTTGGAGTACTTACACACATCTCTAAACATGAGAATTAATTCATGAGAATGTTGATGTGACATGTGAAAAATGGTTTCACACTCGTGAAAGATGTATGTATTTGCATAACATGAAGGTTAACAAATTTTATTCAAGAGAAGACATTTTTTAAGCTAATGACTAGATGATCATTGCATATGTAAGTTATAAGTATATTAAAATTGGTAGAGAGAGAGAAGAAAAAAAAAAAGAAGAAATGGATACATCAAAGAGCCGATTCCAAGGGAAAAATCCTTAAGAAAAAAGACAAAATAGTTAATAAACCCTTAATCCTAAGTCACAATGTCTTGTAATCGTCTTTTTCTGAATCCCACATATACACCTTCTCCTATCTATATAACCCTTCTCTAATACCCCATTTGTTTTTCTCTGTACTCGTCATCATCTTTCATCTTATTTTTAAATCTTTTTCTACTAAGAAATTAGAATTCTTCTTAGCCATTTGGAAAAGAAAACAATCTGGTGTATAATGGATTCAGGGAGAGAAGAAAGCCCGGATTATTCGAGTGAGGGGAATGATAATCTGAAGGAAGAGATGGCGGGTAGTCCTGCAACAAGACGCTCCTATGAGTGCACCTTTTGCAAGAGAGGCTTCACCAACGCGCAGGCCTTAGGCGGCCACATGAACATTCACCGTAAAGATAGAGCCAAGGCGAAGCAAACCACTGCTAATTCTTCTTCACTAATTTCCACCAGACGCAGCACCGATGATCACACAAACCCTAGTTGTACTTCATTTTCAACTGAATACGCCACAAAAAACTACCCACCAGTTCTTGAGGGTCAAAGGAATTACAACATGTATTTTCAGCCTCCTTTTTCTAGCCCTAACCATCCACATGTTGAAAATACCGATCGTAAGTTTTTGGGAGCACAAACGTCAAACGATTCTAATTCCAGCCTGAATGAACAGCGTTGGGGCTCTAATTTGAGTTTGCAGCTAGGTTCCAATTATCAGCCTTACAATGATCAAGTAGCGAGGGGAATTATGCAAGAAGATGATTTGGATTTGGAGCTTCGACTCGGTCATGATCCTTGAGAATCTGTCCACTAATCATGACCACTTCATATATATATATATATATAGATGGCACGAATAAAATATATGTTTCGGTTTTACAGAGATGAAATCGGTGCCAGTTTAATTGAAGGTATGGTAGATATATTTGATTGATGAGGCAAAAGTGGAATTTGTTTATGAAGTAAAGCATGCAGTAGATATATATATATATATATATTCTTATGGATATTCTATATGTATATTTGAGATTGAAGCCTGCAGATGCATGGTTAAGAAAAAAATTAAAGAAAAGTATATAGTGCTTGTTTCTTACATATGATCAGTCTAACAGAATTCTTGTACAAAGTAGAGACATAGCAATTTCTTGAGCTCATCCGAGGTATGTCCATTAATGTGATGTGTGTGTATGTATATATACATATATATATATATAGATTATAATAGAAGCCAAATTAAAACCAGCAGGGGATCTATGTATTTGTATACATCTAATTAGCTTAATTATGTCTATTGATTTATTTCTACGAATTGTACTTAAGAATTTCATGCATATATATATATATATATGTACTTCATAGCTTTAGTTAATATCATATTTCTAACATTTTTTCTGTAAAGAGTTTCATGCAATTTCTTTTTTCTCTCTATATATCAGTACTTCTTAACAATGCATCTCTTTTGAATGCAAATTATAAATTAAAGATAATGCTTCAGATTTAAATATAACAGGTGTACTGCAGGATTTCTATTTCCTTCTTTATATTTTCATATTTCTTTGTTTTGTTCTTTCAAAATTTCAGTTCTTGTTCAAGAAAACCCTAATTACTGAACTAGGTAGATATATGTGTATATATATATATATCTTAATGTTGCATGTAAATCCTCCCTAGCTCATAGTACTAATAGTATTTAACAATAATAATAATAGATTAACCATAGGAATGGTTCGTTCTTTTAACATATTTCTGTTATATATTATATGTATGTATGTATATATGCTTTAATCTGTTGGTTTTAATATATATAGAGGGGTTAATTTAGAACTAATGTGGATAATATATATGCTAAAAATGGGATTGCAGTGAGGCGGATATGGTGTTTATTTGGAGAAAGTGCAGATATGCTTGGGATTACTTTCCCATTATATATGCTACAAATATATTTTTCCTTTTCCTTTTCTTTTTCTCTGAATTGTTTTCACCAATTCCATGTGCGATGTCCCTTTTCAATTAAACCTCTGACTTCATCAAACTGGTATTAATAATAATCAGATAATTTACACAGTGTTTAGTTTTCTAGAATTATTTTGCCTAACTAATTAATTATTTACTAAGTTATCTAAAGTAATTAAAATCTAATATATTAATAAATTCATCGACATCAATTCCATGTGCTATAAGCTTTGAAGTGTTATCATTTTGATCAAGCAAAATTACTAGTAAATTAAGAAGACTGATGATTTAACAATGTCTTAATTAATATATGTAAAAAAATGGTTGGAAAATAAATCATAATAATTTATGTTAGTTATTTCGTTAATTATTTTATTTTAAAATTATCTTTTAAAAAAAATCATAAGATAAAAAAAATTAAGAAGTGAGAGACATTATTGTACTCATCATATACAAGGATATATATTTTATTTTATTTCTGTATATATTTGTGGCCAAAAATATGCACCTTCTTATGTTTTGCTTCACAGTCTCTATAGGTTTGTTCATGTTTTCTAGTCACGCGTACCAGCTACTGCTAGTGTGCGAATGGCTGATAAGTTCCTGTTAAGAGTTCCATTTGTTTTTGAACTATATTATGGACGTAACACATATTATTAATCTCCTTGTAACAATAACAATAATAATAATCTACACATATATCTTGTAACACCCAACATTTTATTTTTTCTTATTTTTTTTTATTTTTTTAATATAATTATTATTTATTTTATTTTAATAAAAAAATGGAAAAAATTCGATAATGATTAAATTAAAAATAATTTTGAAAAAAATGAGTAAAAATTTGGATTTTGAAAATATTTTTGAAAAAAAAATTAAAAACCAGAGGTCAAAACGTAATTTAAAAAAATTACACTACGTCGGATGTCCGGTCAGCAGCCCCGACCAATCAGAACGTGCCAAGTGGCAGAGGCATTAACGCGAGAGGCCATGCGAGGGGGAGCCACGTGGGCGATCCGCATGTCCGCGATCGAACGGCTGAGGTCCGTTCCTGCGCACATAGACGGCTCAGATTGAATCGCGCACGGACAGCCCAGATTGAATCAAGATGAACGGTACAGATTCACTCCCTATTTAATCGCGATCTGACGGTCCAGATCAAAAGCGATGGACGATCCAGATCAAAAGCAGATGGGTATAAATAACCTCATCCGCACCCAAACCCTAACCCTAGCCAGCAGAACCCCTCGCCGAAGAAGACAGCCCAGCTACCGGGGAGCCGACTACCGCCACCCGCCACCGCACTGGAACCTTTTCCGACCACTAAAAAATGTAAAAATTTCTCCTCTTGCACGAAATTCAATTTTAAACCCACCCATGGCCAAATCGGAGTGAAAGAACTGGTCAATTTGCGGAAAAATGCCACCAAAGCCCGGCACCACCGCCACGGGAAATTTCACAAACTGCCTCCGATGAGGCCCTTCCCGATTCTCGTTTCGTGTAATTTTTTCACTGTTGTGATCACCGTTTTCTTCTCTACAGGTTGGCCAGAGCAAAACACTCAACTGCAATGTGAACCGGAGGAGCCACTGCACCGGAGAGCCCTCCGCATGTGAGTTTCAGTTTTCTATGTTTTTTTTAGCCAACCGAGGGCCCTAAGTGTGTTTTCTCGCCGAAACTGATGCAAATTTGGCTGAATTCGGTCGAAAACGGTTGAAAAAAGCCAACCCGAGACAGATTGCCACCACAAGCGATGACACTGTTGTCAGAGCATGACGGAGCCACCGTGCCGGATTTCTAAAATTGGCCGAGTAGACCCTGGGACTGATTTTTGGGTTTATTTGGGACATTGTAGGTACCGTAAGCGCGTTTCAGTTCCCGAAGAAAAATTCAAGGAACCCAGGTACCGCCCGTAGACGCAGTGAACCATTTAGCTTTTTAGCGTCAAATCGAATAAGAACTTCTCACCCTATTTCCTATCATATATTTGAAGTTTGAATAAATAATAATACGGTCTTTTATGCAAATTAAATAGATGTGCATAATTAATTACGAATTGCTAATAGAGCCCGAATCGGACATTGTTCTCTGTTAATTTCTATTGATTTATTTTACAATCTAAAACTATGATAGTATCTGGTTTATATATTTTATGGTTTAAATGCATGTATTACTATCTTACCTGACCACTGCTTGATTTTGAGATTTAAAATATGATTGCATTACTGGATGCATGTTCATTTGTTTATGTGATTATGTTTGATTTGGTAACGGGGACTAAGGAAAAACAGATACGGTGATAGTCTCACTAGATATCCTGAGAGATGATGGATGGACCGGGTTTATAGGGAACCCTACCGTGAATATTGTCTCATACCAGACGAGGTATGGAGACTTGGTCATTTGGTGCTCATACCGGACGGGGTATGGAGACTTTGTCATTTGGTGCTCATACCGGACGGGGTATGGGGATGGCCCTGGAATTAAGATTGTTAAGGAGAATGGTTCATGTGTAGCGGAGACACCCCTATGGATCCTCATAAATATTGGTAGGCTGGTGAAAACGAAAAACGGTGATAAACAGTTATTGTTAATGAATACAGAATTATGATATATTTTATGTTACTGATTATACATGAAATTGTGATCTGTATGATGTTGTTGTCTTTATAGGTTGTTTTCACAGGTTCTCCAAGAGTAAGAAAAAAGGTAAATAGTTTTATTTTAAATAAATGTATTGCTTTAAAATTTGTGCTCCATTGGTTGTTTTTGGTTTTCTACCAACTTTTGTTTCTGTGACGGTGATATGGTGTGACGTCTTTACTGAGCTAGTGTAACTCATTCCTTATTTAACCATTTCAGATCAGGAAGACCTGGTTTCCGAGCCTGATTCACAAGAAAACGGTGAGTAGATGCTAGATGCTTTATAGTTTCTTTTATTTTTCTCATTTCTCATATTTCTTTTAGAGAATTTATTCCGTGATGTTGTTTAATACTTTTAAGTTATTGTGTAAGCGACGTTAACCTTAATATTTTATTTCGCTTCCACACTCATATTATTATATGTATTTCCTTTTAAATTTCCAGAACCGTTACGTAGTATGGAAATATGTCAGGATGGCCTTTTTTTTTTTACTTTTTTTAAATAAAAAATAAAAATAATATGTTGATATTAATTATAAATATATATTATATCAAAATAAAATTTTAGATATTATTATTTACTTATATTTTAAAATTTTTTTAAAAAAAGACAAAATTATTGTAATACTTTTTATAGTAATTATCAATGTAGATTTTTGAAATATAAAATTCAATTTAATTTTTAATTGATTATAAATTATGCACTAATTGATTTTTAAAAATAAAAATAATCTTAACTTACTTTTTATTTAACTATAAATTATATTTAAAATCTGTCTCTGCAGTACAGGATGAAGTTCTAATAATAATGTTTCCATCAAATTAGCACCTAGACCCAGAGGCAGAAGAAAAAGTTCACCCTGAAATGGGCCAATTACTATGCCAATATTAAAGTCCAATATGACCCAAACATATTGAAATTAATTTTAATTTTATACACAAAAAAAAAAAACATTATAAAATAATAATATATTTGAAATTAATAATTTCCTAAAATTTTACAAATATTATCGGATTTTAAAATAAATTAAAATATGAAATAAAACCGCTAGTTAATAAGTGTATATTATTATATCACAATATCCAAAATCAAAGCAGGTGGTTTAATTGAGAAGTGGGTGTCTATTTGGTATGGTATGGAGAAATGAGATCGATACGTAGTTTGGTTTCCTACCAAATTTAGCCATTCATAAACTAGCAACA